TTATCACTATTCAGTAATCTCTGTTGGTATTTGGTAGGAAATGGCATTTGTTTCTCTGGTTTATTTTACAGCTTAGGAGCCTGAGTTGTGGTTAATTGTGGCATTTGCGTGGACAAAATTAGCTAGCAATGATTTTGTAGTATCATGCCATTCATCTACCATACTCCTGTACCAATTTTCTTGCAAGAATTATCACAATAGGATTATTCATGGTGTCCTCGACCTCTAGGTTGCTTAGCTCTTATTTGTTTGGGCACACATACAAAAGCAAACTTGTCTAGAATTACCTTGTCATGCTTGATGCTTTACATATCTTGTTAAAGACAACATAGATATTTGATCGTGTACTGACAGTGATCAAGTTGACGACCTGCAATTTAGTTTTGCTCCATACCTCTGGTACTTCTAGCAAAGTTTGATCTATAGTTCCACATAGTTTGTATCACCTTGCATGAATAGCACTTCCATTCTTGTTACATCCTTTGTTAGAGTTAGTAACCTGAGAAGCACGTATAATATATAATTTCCATATTGGAATGTGATAACTGCTGCACCATTTCGTCATACCATTTGTTAGGAAGGGTTAGGATTATTCATGTACAGAAGTTCTGTGTGCATTTGTCGAGAGTGCAGCATGGGCTTTCTGTTTACCAGTTGCAGGATTCAGAGTCAGATGGTTTTTTAGAACTCATTAACTTACCTAGTATTGTGTGCTTGTGCGTGTGTGTGTCAGTGTCAGCTGTATATGTCTCATGTACTTACTTTACTGTCTCTCTATACAGGCACAGCAACAGCAGCAGCGTCCACCACCTCCACGGACTCGGATGGCGAATCCTGCACCACCACCTGTTCCCGCACCAACGGCACCACCGATGCCGCCACAGGCCGCCCAAGTTCCTCCTACTCCACCAAGGATGCAGGTGCAAGATAAAGGCCCAGTTCCAGTTGCCCCTCCTGGCGCAGTGCCTCCTGTGCAGCAACAAACACCTTCCTGTCCTGGCCCTGTCGCCGGCAACAGCCCCCCAAAGAGTGAAGACATGCTGGTTGATCAATCTGGGCCTTCGACAAGCAACGTGCCACCCCGCCCAACAATGCCTGAAGACGAGGAGACGCTCATCCAGGAGGCTATTCGGTTGACTCGGGGCCGGCTCAGGAGGCGCATGGGTGGATCTGGACCTCCATCCAACTAGCTCTTCTCGCACTTACGACGATGGCAGGGGAAATGCTGGGTTGGTCCATCAGGCATGGCTGAATTTCCTCGCACAGTTGCAAGCTCACGTCCACCTTGTAAAACGATGAATCCTGGTTCCTGTTGTTTCACAGCCCAGATTGTGTATATAAACCCACCCCATGCCAGGGGTAAAAACGCTGGGATGCCAGTGGACCACCAGTTTAGCTAGGCGGTAGCAGAAGATGGTGGTTAAGATGCTCGGTGAAATCGGTTCCAACTTAGTTCTGTCGAAATTCGTTGGTGGTGACTTCGTCTGTATTGGAAAGTGGTTCAAAGGTGAAGTGAAATAATCTTAGGCTGTACCGGGAAGATAGAACCTTCGCCCGCCTCGCATTAGCACGTTCTGTTGCTGCTACATTTATTTAGCTGCTTCTCGAGTTTGGCATTGCATGCCAGTAAGAAAATCTGTATCATTTAGTAGAGCTGATTTTTTCTGAGCCTGCTTGAGGGACAGATGCATTTTATCACCTCTGGCCACCAACAAAGCTTCACTGCCCTTTTCAGGTTCCGTATGCACGCGTGACTTGCATATAATGAAATAGAGTTGCGTAGACTTTCTCAGATTTGCAGTACGCGTTCGCATCTGCAATACTGGATGCATGCTAGGAAATCAAATCAAATATGTTGGAAATATTAGCACCACCTTTTCGATTAATCTAGTTCACGAGTTAACAGTAAGCATATGATTCACAGTATGCAACTCATACCGATAGGTGATAGCTAAACATGTGAGCATGTATAACACAAAGAACAAAACATCTATGTACAGGACATATATGGCTAGCAGATGAACGAGTTAGTAGGGGATGAACAAGTCATACTCTTTGGTTGGCCAGGCAGCGACAGCAACAACCTTGACGTCGTCCGTGGCTTTCTTCTTGGCGGCTTTGTCATCGTTCGCCATGGGATCATGCAGGGAAAGTAGTTGAAGTAGAGGAGGACAGAGACGCTCCCCAAAAACCTTATGGCCCTTCTCCCGGGTAGGATCTCGAAGGACGTGGTTTCGAGGGCACCCGCTCTCTTGGCCAACTGTGCATGCGGTTGTCAGGATGGGATCTCTTGGCCAACTGTGCATGCGGTTGTCGGGATGGGATCGCCAGAAGCAGCACACTGAAAGGTACATTTAGATGACGGATAGGGTTACGCGAGGAGAGAGTGTGTCTATCAACTACACTGGCCAACTCTTGCATTATATAGACTGCCAGGTAGGGAGTCATGGGCCTGGGCTTAGGCCCACGATTGTGTTGATGCACGCCAACTAATACAAATAACACAAAGGTGATGCCAATTGTTAGTGTTTACAAGGAAATTAATGATTTCACCATGAAGAGGCGACAATGTCATTTTAGTACATCTAAGCCGCTAGCAGCTAGTGGCCGTCTTGCTGGCTGTGTTGGGACAAACCGGACTACCTCGCTCTCACACTCGCTCGGACATAGGTGGAAAAGAAGAGGGACACAAATATTTCCGGCGCACAAACGCCACATCACACGAACGGCGTCAATTTACTGGGCACATACCCGGGCTCGGCAACGCACCGTGGCATGGCTCATACCGACGCACTTACAACGAGTACACGGGGGCTTTTTTAACCCAAGCTAGCTCCAATGCACACACTCACAAAAGCCAGCCACAATGCTCGGCGCCACTACGCGCGCACACACACTTGTTGGGAAACCGGGTCCACCACGAGGGTGGCGGCGGACACGTGCGATGCGCACGGCTTAGCCCCTTCTGGTTCCACACTTTACGTTAAATGAGTATTTATCTCTTGACCCCTGCCCCTATATAAATACTCGTTTATATAGCTTACCTCGTTAGTTATCATGATTCCATGATTTCATACAATAAATTCGAGTAAACTCGATTTGGTTGTAAGCTCCATGAGAGCATATTCTTTACATTGGCGATTGGATGACATTTATGTCATTCATTTATTTCATTATTTATCCATGATAGTACTCCCTCTCTCTCAGTTTAAAGGGCGTGCGCGTACCCCTAGGTCGTCAATTTGACCAACCTAATATAAATCATATATTATAAAAAATATATTAATATAAAATTCAGATGTTCTATTTTCAAACCGTATAATTTTTGTGTTATATAGTTTATATTAGGGTGATAAAAATGGTAACCTAGGTATACGCGTAGGACTTGTAAACTGAGACGGAGGGAGTATGTCATGTTCCGAAATGTGTGCATTTATTATTAATGTAGCTTGTTCCTCATTACATTAGTTAGATGTTATATTTTAGAACGCATGTGGTGCCCGAACGGAGGAAACGTGCCTTGCCGATAGCGCCACACACACACCATTTTATGAAAAATTGCACTGATTGTCAGACTGATATTTTTTTGGATTCGGCATGTAAAAACTAAGCATACTTGTCTCTTTTTGGCTGTGATAGAGCATGCGATCTGGCGCTGGTGTGATGTGACACACTGTGTGGATCAAACTAAATTTGAATTTCAAATTACCTTTTACTGGCGGACATATATAGGATAGCGTTGAATGACGGCCTCTCGCATTCGTGTACGCGGACTGGTCCCCCTGTCCACGGACGAACGTGGAAGAAAAAATTATGGATCACCGTTTTTTTTAGCTCGAAACACTTCATTTCATTAATGAACCTGCCGAGCAAAATCGCTGGCCATAAAAATTTGGGCGAAGGTAGGGACCAGACCCAGCTGTGGGGGTGTGGACCGGACTGGTTTCAGTTGTTTTTTCCTATTTTCTTTTGTCGGGTTTTTTTGTGCTGGTTTGTGTTGGGTTTTTCCTTTTTTCATGTTTCTTTTTTGTTTTGTGTTTTATTCCTTTTTATTTTCTTGTTTGTTTGTCCTTTTTCTCTTCTATTTTAAGTTTCATGTTTTGTTTTAAAAATATACTAAGATATTAAAAAAATATGGGTTTAAAAAAATACATGAATATTACACTATTTTAAAATTACATGAAGACTTTTCAAATGGGTGGAAAACTTGTTTAATTACATGAATAATTTCTCAAATGGACGAATGCTTTCATTAATAACATGATCGCTTTCACAGGAAATGCATGAACATGTTTTGAAAGTATATGAACACTTTTTAAAATATGTGAACATTTCTTTAAAAGTACATGTATTTTATTCAGAATAGATGAACACATCTTAATTACATGAACATTTAATAAAAATACTGAACATTTTTATTCTACATGGCATTTTTTTTACATACACGTGAACACCTTTTTTAGTCGTACACACATTTTTGTTAAAATGTTTGAACTAACATTCCTAAAAAATGCACGTACATTTCTGTGAAGTTGGAAAAAATTATGTTGTCGAAATCTCTTCCTCTCCACTTGCAGATTTCGTCCCAGATTCCGTATGAAACCCATCCCGGTCATTGAGATTTCAGGGCGGGCGCAATCTATAGTAGCAACAACGACGTAGCTCTCTTCTAGTGAGCACTCTTCCAACCTAGCACAGATATATATGGCTGCTGCTTTACCCCGTAGGCGCCACAACATTTGTATGGGAAAGGAGGCTACGAATCACCCTAGTCATTTAGATCCAGGGACGTGGAGAAGTTTCAGCGCAAGGTCGGCAAAAAAAATCCTACCTCCTTTTCTGGCCAGACATCCTGCGTGTGTGTACGTCGGCGCAGTAATATAAATGTTCGTCGCTGCCTATATGTATTTGTTCGTGGCGGCTTGACAAGTACGGTAGTTGCTCACTTGCTCCTTAGCCAACAGTTGTGTGGTTACAGAGGTGATAGTCGCAACTGACTGATGGCGGCGCACGTCTTCTCCTCCGTCGAGCCACCGCTGTTCTCAGCCTCGCCGGTGGCCGGAGTTGGCGGCCGGCGACGTCGATCCTTCCGCCCTTGCATGGTGACGAGCCCTACCCGGGACTCCCACGCGATGGCCGATGGTTTTGACTTCCAGGTGAGGTGCTCGACTCGACTCGCACGTCGTCTTGTAAATCTTTATAAGAGCAATTTTAACATGCACGGAGACAGAGAGTAAGAGGAGCATGTTAAAAAACCTCTCTTTTCACACGGAAGGTAAGAAGTTAAGAGTTAATCAAACCCACTATTTAGTACAATCAACGGCTTAGATCTATTTTATACTCGTATCTTTCATGTGAAAATGGAAAATAAGAGGGAGCAGGATAGAAAACCCTCAGTAAGTGAAGTATTTTGGTGACAGAAAGAAAACGAAAATGTTAACGCCCACACGTGTGGGCGTTTGCACATCGCCCACACGCCTCCATCACCACTCATTTTGCCACGTATGAATAGATGACATCAGCAGAATTTTTTTTGGTTTTCGGCTTAAAAATGTTGTATCTTCTAAATAAAAAAGCGAACTAAAAATCCGTTTTCACCATTAAATCCGTCTCGACGAGATCTTCAAAACTAGACCCCATGTTGATATGTTTCGATGATTTTTTTTTTTGTCAGAAGTTGCCACGATGTTTACACTGCAGTTGCCATAGGGCTTAAACTAAAGTTGCCATGTGGCAATTTTAGTTTGTAGATCATGGCAATTTTAGTATTTTGATGATGGCAACTCTAGTACTTTGACCATGAAAATTATTTTTTGTATGAACCATGGCAATTTTACGTGCATGTATCATGGCAATTTTAGTTTATGGTTCATGGCAAGTCTAGTTTCTTAATTCCCCGTTTTATAAATGTCAAAATTTACTTTTAAATGTAGAAGAAAAGAGCTGAAACATATCATGGCAACTTCAGTGTAAACATCATGACAATTCATATGCAATAGACATGGCAACTTTTAATCCAAAAAAAAATTCATTAAAACATATCAACATTGGATCTAGTTTCGAAGATCTCATCGCGAGGGATTTAATGGTGAAAACGGATTTTCAATCGGATTTTTCGTTTAAGAGATAAAACATTTTAAAAACTGAAAATCCAAAAAAATTCCTGCATGCATGCATGCGATGACGTGGCAATCTGTTTACATTAGAGACGTGTGGTGCGTCTTCCTTCCTGCCACACGTGTGGCAGTTAGCGCGACCCAAAGAGAAAGAAACTTCTGATTGCGTTTGTGCCAATAATAAGGATACAAGATTATTTAAATCGAATGTCTCGGTGATGAGCTAGGCGAGAAGAATATCATTATCTATTGATTCAATCTAACGTTGCAATAAGCGACGGGTCTAGAAATTCATCTTAGTGGGTTCCAAGTTAACACTCAGACACTCGAGCACCGGTAATAGACACATTACATAACTAGTACTCACTCGCTTCATAAATATAAGAGATGTTCTGGATATTTTAATATTACTATGTACAGACTAAAATGACTGAACAAACACATTAGAACATGTCTATCAAGGCTGGGTCGGCAAAATCCAGAGCCCTGTGCGAAACTAAAAAATGGGGCCCCATCTCACTAAAATAAACTAATGAGCAATATAACGTATATGATATAATGTCTTACATAGCAATTGGATGTGTAAAAAAGCATACCTATTCAACTCCCGGTTGCCTGATATTTATTTGAACAAGTCATTCTTTTAGTATTCTTTGAAATGAAATGTTCAATGATATCCTTGTAATTAATCTTCTTCAACACTTTGCTCTCAAGCGCAGAAGTGGAGCCAGGATTTAAACATGAAGGGGTTGAGGGAAGAGAATGACCACGCAATAGATAAAACTTCACGGAAAATGATCCTTGTGAATCTTTATTATTAGATTGACTTTAGACCATGGGGTCTATTGCAGCAATTTCATTTGGGTTAAGTGATCATGTGATTTGCCAAATTAATCAAAGTCATCTACTATGGAAAAGCGACACACCTAATTTGTGAATTAACCTGTTGTCTTATATGCAAGTAAACGAGATCACTAGAATACTGGATTGAAATCCACCAACATAATAAAAACTAGTACTTAATACATACCTATAGATCTAACTGCTCAAGAAACGGATACGCCAATACAATACAGTGATCTGCGGACTGAATACTCGCACCGCACTGCTGCCAGTGTAGGATGGACGAACCATGACGGCGGTGTGTAGGTGGCATCCGGCAACTCACAAGGCAACCGACAGGGCAGCGACGGCGGCGCGGAATAGATGGACGCTAGGTCTTGGAAAACATACAATTTTTTTTAGACAAGCCAAACATACAAATGAAAGTACAGTTTACCACAGTGGCCTAAATACAGGATAATGCGCGTGGGCTGTTTTGGGCTTCAGTACACAGCACATGAAGGTAATTATGGCTGGGCATAAAGTAATTATATCTTCTGCCATAGTACAACACATAATTAGTGCGGAAAAAAACCCAGCGCTACGCTGAATCTTTTGAGGGCGGCAATCGTTGGCTGCCTCTGGATGGAATGCCGCTCGCTGCCGCAAGTTGTCCGGCGGACGCACAGGGAGATCGATCGAGGGTTCGCGCGTGGGCCGGCCTGTAAAATGTTTTGATGTTCCGGTTTTAGGAACCTTCTCGCTTGTTCCCAGCCGTTTTTTCCGGTTTTGGGAACCTTCTAGAAGCTTCCTAACACTTTTTTTCTGTTTCTGTTTCGTCTTTTTTTTCCTTTTTCCTGTTTATTATTTCTTCTCTATCTTTTCCTTTTCTACCTTTACAAGTTTTCTTTTTTCATCCTTTTCTTTCTGTTTCTTTTCTTTATTTTTCCTCCTCTTCAGTTTTTCATTTTTCATAATTTTAAAAATATTCAAACTATTAAAATTTTGTCTGCATGTAAAAACTATTCGTTCTTTACAAAAATTTTTGAAGTTAAAAAAATTGTTCGCTTATCAAAAAATATGTTCAAAGTTTAAAAAATGTGTTCCGGTTTTCAAAATATTGTTCATGTATTGAAAAAATGTTTGAATTTCCAAACGTTTGAGATTTTTAAAAAGGTTCTAAATTTTCAAAAAAATTCTTCAATTTTAAAAACTGCTCATGCTATCGAAATTCCTTTCTTTCAAAATTTTATTCTACTTACCAAATTTTGTTCACAAATTCAAAATATTCATAGTTCTAAAATTTTGTTCACAAAATTCAAAAAATGTTCATATTTTCAAGTTTTGTTTAGGAGTTCGTAAAAAATGTTCCTCTTTCAAAATTCATTCGCAAATTTGAGAAAAATGTTCATGTTTTCCAATTTTATTTGGTTGTTTCAAAAATTGTTTCTATTTCAAATTTTGTTCGTAACTTTCAAGAATGTGTCTGTTTCTAATTTTGTTTGGGAATTTCAAAAAATGTTCGACTTTTTAAAAAATGCTAACGAATTTGAAAAATGTTCATCTTCTTTTCTCGTTTTTCTGCTTATTTTCTCCTGTTCCTTTTTCCTTTTTAGAATATATCAGAGTTCTAAAAAACATTCTTGATTTGATAAACTGTTCATATTTCTAAAAAAATGTTCAAAATTTTAAAAAATGTTCGAATTTTATAAAATGTTTTCATTTTCAAATTTTGTCCTGAGTTTGAAAAAATGTTCTTGTTTCAAAAATTGTTGACCGATTCCAAAACTATTCGTGTTTCCAAATTATTGTCCAGAGTTTCAAAAAATGTCGCCTTTAATGAGAATTTATTCACATATTCAATAATGTTCGCCATTTTCAAAAAAGTGTTCAGTTTATCAAGAAATGTTCGAGCTTTTTTTCTTCTTCTCAAAGTTGAAAAGTGGTCCCTTTGAAAAAACATATTTCCAAAATAATGTTCGCCTTCAGAATTTGACAAAATGCTCGGATCTATATTACCATTAGCTTCACACGCCATAGTACACGAAGAAGCTCATCTATCCCGTTGGCTAGGCTCGCGCATAAGCAACAGGAGGTCCCTGGTTTGATCCCTCCCTCGAGCAGACTTTTTGGGGATTTTTCACGCAACGAGCGGCGCATAGGAACTCCAGCTCTGGATAGGATGCGATGGATCCCGTTTGGGGGGCATCGAGCAGGCCGCTTGGACGCGGCAGGAAGAAAATATACATAGGCCTTATACCAATTTGGGCCCCCCAAAATCTATGGGCCCTGTGTGGGCCATACAGTCCCGCACAACTATGGGCCCGTCCCTGATGTCTATATACACCCGACTCAGTAAAAGTTCAAACATCTTATATCCGTGAACAGAGAGACTACATATATGCTAAAATAAGAAAAATTACTAGCTGCCGCTGGTTGCAATACTTTGTTTTTTTACACGGTTTTCTTGCGTGAAAAACTTTCAATCTATTCATGAACTGTTAACGTAGTACATAGTACTAGAAGTAAAAAGTACACCCAGGTTCGTAGACCACCTAGCGACGACTACATGCACTGGAACAAGCCGAAGGCATGCCGCCGTCATCGCCCCTCCCTCATGGGAGGCAGACAAATCTTGTTGTAGTAGACAGTCGGGAAGTCGTCATGATAAAGCCCCACTGGACCAGCGCACTAGGTCAACAACCGCCGCCGATGAAGAGATGTGTAGATCAGAAGGATCCAACTTGCAGGCACATGAACACAAACGAATGAAGATCGTATCCACGTGGATCCAGGAAGACAAACACCGACTTAATCCCATGAGATCCGCCAGAGAGAAACCTTCACATGCCCTTCGATGATGCTAGAAACACCACCCAGATGAGGGTTAGGCTGGGAGGACCTTATTCCATCTTCTGAGAGCCGTCGCCTCCCCTCTCCGAGTAGTACACAAAGCCTAACAAAACTAAAAAACCATCTGAAAACAAAGCCCTCCCGCCGGCAACTGCCGAGATCCACCGCGCTTCCTTGGAACTAAGACCACGAGATCGATCGACGGAGGCGCATAGGGTGCCCTGGCGTACAAGAGCGAAGGGGTATGCAACCAGACTATCGCTTACACGGTTGTTATTTGGAAGGATTTTACTAGCGAATCTATGAAGCCCAACCAAAATTTCCTCACAGAAAAACAACCAAAATACTTTTATTTCTGTCAATTATTATTTCAATAATAAACAAAAAACACTTCTAAACTTTTTTTGAAGAAAAAATTCACTTCTAAACTTGATTGGCCGCTGAGTATGGAATTTGGCGGGCGCCCGCCAAATAGCACGCCCCTTGGAAAGTTGACCCTTCCAATGAACATGATTCATTTTACCAAAGATGCACGGTTTTCAAAAACTCTACTGGATTTTGGTCATATTTTATTCTTTTGAATTATGTTTTCTGAAACTCTTTTCAAATTTCGGATATTGGAGCGGCCCCGAATTTCCAAACAGAAATTTGTAACATCTGGAACCAAATCCAAATCCATCTTTCTTTAGGGTCAAATCCATCCTCCTAGGGCATTTACAACGCGGATGCTAACGATCGACACCAAGGTTGATTTCCCGGCAGTTATGCCCGATTCCCACCCTAGACAGGGAATCTCGCTTGCGTCAATGCCGCGCAAGGCATCGAGCGCTTCTGTTTTCTTTTTTTCTTTTTTCATAAATCATGGGCCATCTATAGATTGCTATTGGCGTTGGAGGGATGGACACCCTACACAGTCGGCCCATGGATCTTTTTAAAAGATCTGCCGCCTTACGAGCCGTCAAATCTGGAGCGTCCAAGATTAACCTTCTACCATTGCAACACATGTCGTGTTGGGGTTATGTTACGGAAATTTTTGTAACATAGCTCAAGTTGCCGATTATTTTTTGCAACATATGTCTTGTTACAGTTTTTTTGCAACAGTTGTCTTGTTGCATTTTTTTTTGGAACAAAGGTCTTGTTGAAATCTATTTATTTTGCAACATAGGTCTTGTTACAGTTTTTTTTTGCAACATACCTTATTGCTGAAACTGGTTGTAGAGAGCATCGACCATGTCGACCTAAGGAAAGGCTGGTGCTCCTTCGGGACGGTGGGGCGAAGGTGGACGTAACTCCCCCCCAAGGACACAGATGCTGGTGCTCCCACTGGGCGGCGGGATGCAGCTTGAGTTCGGGCGCACCAGGACGTCCAACATTCATGGTGGAGGTGGGCGGCAACGGCTGCGGTCACGCCCGCGACCTTGTCGGCATGCTGCCGGTGGCGAACGTCGATGACGGCGGTCGAAGCAGCACGAGACAGAGTTGGCTTGATGGGGATCTTGCGAGGTGCACGGGTGGTGGCCAATGTCGAGGGGATCCAGATCCCACAACACAACAGTTTTTGCGGCGGGGGAGATTGCAAGAACGACTTTAGTTGCAAAAACTAGTCTAGGTAATACGTTGCTTCTAGCCATCTGATTAAAACCTGATCTAACGGCCACAGTGGCGGTGGATCACACGCGTCGTTATCCGTCGGCTGATCCCAATCATTTCCCGTACATTTCCTATCATGTAAAAGCCTCAACAAGCGTTCACCGTTGAAGATGCCCTTATCACCAGTAGAAAGAGAATATCTTGATTTAAAAAAAAGAAAAAGAAAATATCTCCCCCTTGGTTTCTATTCTTTGTTCTCCCCTCACTTTCTCCTCGACTCTTCCAAATCACACAAATCCATTCTCCCGTCTCATCTCCCCAAAATCTCTCCTCTCTCAAATCCAGCGCCTTATGCGGTCTCCTCGTCCTCCCTCCCTCTCCTCCATATCGAGTCCCCCCTCCTGGCCATCAGCAACGCGCGGCCGTCCTCGTTCCTCGTGGCCATGGGCACGCGAAGTTTGGGCTGTTGGGTCTAACCCTATACGAAGGTAGAAGAATAAGTGCACGAGACAAGAGAAATTTTTTGGGGCGATGTACCCCCGCGCAAACCTCTTTTTACCGGTTCCTGGAGGTACCGGCAAACCATGCATCCATCGTTCGTCTTGTTTGCGTTTCGTGCATTTATGTGGCCCACCTCTAGTATAGCATTTTTATTTTCATAACCCACCTCTTGTATAACACTGTTGTATGTCAGATGGCTGGCCCACCTCTTTTCACCACTTTGCACTAGTATGTCAGCTACAGGTACTACTTCTGTCAGCATACCGTACGCATGCATGCAACTTCTTTCCTCTCTCTGCCCTTTCAAACAAATGCATCTTTTTATTTTTGCTTACAATTTTAGATGGTCACTGTCTTTCACAAAAATCCATTACTGAATTTTTTATATATATTCAAATTCCTTGCAACATGATATACAGAACAAGTTCAATATTGAATATTTTTCAACTAGATTTAAAAATAAGGTGTTTCACATTCTCAAAAAAATATCTCGTTTTATAGATTTCACTTAGTCCAAAAAATAAAATTCATAAGTTCATAGATATAAATCATTTCAAGGAATTGAAACATATATTTTAAGTCAAAACGATTGAAAATCAATCTTTTATAAGGACTGAAATCGGTCCTCTAAAATGAGTGAAATAATTCAAGCACTTCTTTTCAAATGAAACAAGCAAAAATTGTACTTTCAAATGAGTGAAATCAGGGAAACCGCTTATTTCAGTGTGTATATTGTGAGTGTAGTAGTTTTCTGAAACTACTAAAATGAGTGAAATCTATCTTTTGTAATGAGTGAAATCACTTTTTTGAAACAAGTGAAATATAGTATTTCAATTGAGTGAGCGTAATATGTTTTCTGAAATTAGTTTCTTGAAATATTATATTTCTGAAAAATTATATACCAGCTTATTGATATATATATGAAATCAATTTGTAAATGAGTGAAATCTGTATTTTCAAAGTAGTGAAATATTTTTTTTGGAATGAGTAAACTCTGTTTATTGAAATGAATAAAATCGTACTTTTTGCAATGTGAAACTAATTGAAACAGTAAAATTCAATCTAGCCAAATTGTATTCAAGACCGGTCTTGTTTTAAAGGTCTTATCACCCTGACTTCAAATGTACAAAAAAAATTCAATTACTGAAATTTGGTTCATAGTTATTAACCATTCAAAATATGACCAGGAAATAAAATGCAACTATTTTGTTTGGGGCAGAGAACCCATGCGCCGTCCTCTTCATCAGTCACCCAGTCCTGTCACATCAAAAGTTGTCACACATCTCACATGCATAGATGTATTCCTTTGTCTAATGTCTGTATTGCATAGCAAATTATTTTTACTTTATACACAAAAGGCTGGCACGAATCTCAGAGAAACCAAGTGAATGGTAGATTCTCCACAGGTAGCTCCCAGCTCCGGTAAAAAAAACTTAGCCGCGTACCCCTGGCGCTCAAACGCCCTAGTTTTTCTATTTCTCCGGCTTAACCAGCCTCCGCACGTCTCATCTGGACTTAGCAGACACCCCCTATTTATCTGGACTACCAAGATGAACTGAGAGCTTTTATTCTTGGTAGAAATTTATTCACATCACCATCAGTTCTCCAATGTGACTTTAAGGCTTGTTATTGAATTAGATATATTTTTTCTAACCATTTAAATTTCTGACTAACTGAATTACTCGGAAAAGAACTGACTAACTGCGCTGCTATAAGCCTTGGAGAAGATAGGAAAGTAGCCTGTTTTTTCCCCTTTGATGAATAGAAGAATTAGCCTCGCAAAGTGAAACATAAAGTCTCCCATATCTCCCATTTTTGCATTTTAAATTTTTTTCTCTCTCCATGGAATAACAGGAGGGCCTGAAGAGTGTTAAGGAAATGCTGCATCAAAACCATAAGGAAAAGAGGAAGGTGATGACTGATATTGATCACCTCAAGCGCCTCTGCATCGACCACTATTTCCAAAACGAGATCAATGATGGCATGGATGCGTGCTTGAATCTTGTTGACAGTGATGATCTACTAGATGCAACACTTTCCTTCAGGCTACTGAGAGAAGATGGATATGATATTTCAGCAGGTTAGTACACTTATCATATATTTTTCGATAGTATAGAAATGATCCCTCATTTTGTTTACGGTGTTCATGGGCCCAAGTCATTTTTACTGTTCATGGTCTTCAAATTCAGTACAAGATTTATAAGATAGTTCAAAATCATAATTTACTATAAAAAGATAAAAAACTTTGCCATGTGGGGCATGTTCCTTCTCGGCAATGGCTGTCACACCTAAAATCTTGGCTTGCTGGCACTCTCCTGTGGTGGTGCGTGGTGAGTGGTGACTGACCTTGCGTAGAGGAATGACTGGTCTAGAGGATGTGGGAACTCTGAGGATTTGCGACCTTCTCGAGGGCTTTTGATTCATTGGTCATGAATTTGTCATGCAGAATAGTACGCTTTTTTTGTCAGGGTCCAGAAGTTGTTCTAGCTAGTTGTGACTAATCCACATATCGAATTAAATTTATTTTTGCCCTTTTTTGAAAATGGAGGCTCGGCCCCGGCCTCCGCATCGGATGATGCATGCAGCCATTTTATTAAGAAGTCTCGAAGTAGCACAAAGTCATAAAAGTATTACAGCTCGCAAGCGGAGCGAAAAAGGAAAAAATAAGCGAATGTTCAATATTACAACAGGTATGACAATGTAAAGGACAAGCTCCCTAGACTCCTATCTTGTTATGCAACCGCCATCTGAACTGGTTGAATATAGCCCGTGCTACCATCTCCCACTGGTTGCACCTAGTAACCAAAGGCTCCCTGAAGTCCGTAGGAGTGAGTAAGGACCACGTACGGATTCATGCAGTAGCTCTGAAGATGACCTGCAAGAAAGTTAGATTAGGTTGTCTGTTAAAAATCATATCATTCCTGCAATTCCATATAGCCCAAAGAAGCGCACATATTTCAATCCGAATATCAATCGCAGTAATATGCTCCACCCCAGCTAACCACGTCCCAACTAACAATTCAATGTCAACTGGAGGAGTGATGTTAAAGGCTATATGGATCGTTCTCCAAAGCAATTTCGCGAATGGGCACTCTATGAATAAGTGTTGTATTGTTTCAACATGATCACAAAAACAACAACGTGAACTACCTACCCACCGCCTCTTTATTAAGTTATCTTTGGTTAGGATCATTTGTTTGTGAATGAACCACATAAATATTTTAATACGCAAGGGAACCTTAACCTTCCAAATATGTAACGATCTCAAGATTGGTCCAGAATTAGTCAGATCCATGTAAAAAGATTTCACCGTAAACACCCCATTTCTGGCTAACTTCCAGTGCATCGAATCTGGTTGGTCGGATAGTTGAACATCTATCAATCTCCGGACCAAGTGCATCCAGGTAGTCCATCGCTCACTAACTAACGCACGTCTGAACTGAATATTCAAGGGAGTCGATTGAAGTATGGTGCCTATGTAATCCTCCTTACGTTGCACAATGTTATATAGGGTGGGGTACTGTATGGCTAGTGGCGTCTCCCCTAACCACGTATCCTCCCAAAATCTTGTTGACATCTCATTGCCAACCACGAATTTGACCCTACGAAAGAACAAATCTTTCGTTCACACGAATCCCTTCCAGAATGGCGAGTCAGTTGGTCTCACGGTGACCTGGGCTAGCGTTTTTGATTGTAGATATTTATTGCGTAATATCTATGCCCACATACCCTCCGGCTCTGTCTCTAACCTGTAGAGCCATTTACTCATAAGACATTTATTCTTAACTTCCAGGTTTTCAATACCGAGACCCCCCTGGTCCTTGGGTCGGCATAGAATATCCCATCGTGCGAGACGGTATTTCTTCTTGGCCTCATCTGACTGCCAGAAGAATCGAGATCTAAAGAAGTCAAGTCTCTTCCACACCCCTTTTGGTACCTCGAAGAAAGATAATAGGAACATCGGCATACTAGTAAGTACTGAGTTTATCAACACTAGCCGACCTCCATACGACATTAGCTTGCCCTTCCAGCAACTAAGCTATTTTTCAATTCGATCTTCAATGCACTTCCATTCTTTATTAGATATCTTACGGTGATGAATCAGTATGCACAAATAGCTGAAAGGTAAAGAAACTAATTCACACCCAAACAATTGTCTATATGTGTCTTGCTCTTCTTTGGCCTTCAAGGCAGAACAACTCGCTCTTGTGAAAATTTATTTTTAATCCAGACAATGTTCGAAGACATAATATGAGTTTCATATTTTGCGCTTTTGCAATGTCATGTTTCATGAACAGATAGTGTTGTAAGCATATTGTAAAATGGAGACTCCCCCATCGACCAAACAAGGTACTAGCCCATCCACTTGACCGTTTTGCTTGGCCCTGCCTATAAGAATGGTCAACATATCGGCCACTATATTAAATTGGAGAGGAGACATGGAATCCCCTTGTCTCAACCCCTTGTGTGTCTGAAAGTAAAATTTATTTTCGCCCTGTTATTGCAACCACAGTTTATATTCCTAAAAACCTTTATCCTTGATGTGGTAGATGAGGTTCTTCAAAAGTTTGTCAATGAAAACGAGGACTTCAACGTTGATCATACCAAAGACATCAGAGGGTTGCTCAGCTTGCAGGACATATCACACTTGAACATGGGAGAAGCATCACTATACAAGGCAAATGACTTCTCAAGGAAACACCTCACTTCTGCAATTAAACACTTGGACCTAAACCTTGCAAGATATGTGAGGCATTCACTGGATCATCCCTACCATGTGAGCCTGATGCAGTACAAGGCTAGACACCACCTGAGCTATCTCCAGAGCTTGCCCACTCGGAACACTGCAATGGAGGAGCTGGCACTTGCAGACTTCAAGCTTAACAAGTTGCAGCATCAGATGGAAATGCAAGAGGTTAAGAGGTACATATATAAGTTCATTCCTTGCAAACTTTATGTTTTATCTGCAGCTCCCAGAAGAGGAATGTGGCTAGAGCATTTGTTTCTTCTCAGGTCCATCACAAAGACCACTGAGTTGAAAATTAGTACCTAATCTGTCTTCCAAGTTGATTTACCATCTTCACATTAGATAACATTCTCCATTTTATACCTATCTTTGGGGGTATTGACAAATTTCTTCTTTAACTTCTAAATGTCATTGTGACAGATGGTGGATGGGCCTGGGATTGGCTCAAGAAATACCAGCTACGCGTGACCAAATTCTTAAATGGTACATGTTTCCCATGACTATCCTCCAGGGGCAATCCTTCTCCAGATACCGGATTGAGATAACCAAAATCATTGCAATTGTCAGTATTGTGGATGACATCTTTGATGTTGTTGCAACACAAGAGGAGCTTTCTCGCTTCACCGAGGCAATCAGAACGTAGGCTTTTCCTTTCTGGCTACTATAAATTCATCTCGCTGTTTATGATCAACAGTAACTGTCAGTATTGTGTAACCGAAATTTCATGTTAGAAAATGCATTTCTTACAGGTGGGATCTTGCAGCTGCTGCATCACTTCCAAGCTACATGAGATCATGCTACAGTTCTCTTTATACAATCACAAATGACATCGCAGATATGGCTGAAAGAGAACATGGGCTGAACCCTATTGATCATCTCAAAAAAGATGTATGTCTCTTGGAATATCTTTATTCTTTTAGATTTCCTGATTTGTCTAGATAACCAACTAAATTGTTTGTTGGACGAGCAACATATGTATCTATCCAATATATAATATTTGAGAATATTTAAGTTCATGTATAAATATATTAAAAAAAGGAAAATAATAATCAACTGAAAATAGTGAATTCATTTTTCTTTTGCAGTGGGCCATGCTTTTCGATGCATTTTTGCTTGAGGCGAAATGGTTGTCTGCTAATCATGTTCCTTCCCTAGATGACTACCTATCGAACGGCGTCATCACTACAGGAGGACCACTTGCACTTGTGCATCTCTTTTCCATGCTAGGACATGATCCAACAAGGGATGCTACAAACCTCACGGCCGGCCGTATCCCTCCGATAATCTCCTGCCCGTCAAAGATCTTGAGACTTTGGGATGACATGGGCAGTGCCAAGGTCAGATTCCAACTGCTGAAATTACCCCCCTGCTTAATTAGAAACCTAGAATTTCTAATGAATCTTAGCCCCACTGGTTTAAGATACCATAACATGATCACCATTCTTGCACCATGCAGGACGAAGCGCAAGATGGCCTGGACGGATCATACAAGGAGTTGTACCTGAAAGAGAACCCCGGTGGCGACGCGAAGGGGCATATGCTGGCGCTGATCGAGAGTGAGTGGGGGGAGCTCAACAGGGAGTGCTTCTCCAGGAGGACATTCCCGCCCAGCATGACCCGGATCTCGCTAAACCTCGCGAGGATGGTGAGGGTCCTCTTTGGCTACGGCGAAGGGCAGACGCTCCCCGTCCTTGAGGAGTACATAAGGATGCTCTTGTTATGAATCATGCCCACACAATCAGGAATCGAGAGGATGACAGAACCAGAGGAAAGCTGGGGTTTTCCCATGAAAATCCTGCTTGAGGATTCTGCAGTTCCCCCTATATTCGCCATAGTGAAAGAATATACTTTGTAGAATGACACAGTCAAACTTTTCTAACATTGACTACATTTTTATAAATAGTGGTAAAGTGGAAATTGTATAATCTTCAAAGTTGATGCTCGGCATAGGTAGTGGGACCCGCCAGTCAGGTGGTGGACACGTGGCTGGTTTGCTAATCGTTAGCTTTGCCGAGAGGAGATCTCGGCAAAGCATCCACTCGGCGTTGGACGTGGGACATCGAGTGGCCTTTGCCGAGAACAATTCTCGGCAAAGACTTTGCCGAGAACAATTCTCGGCAAAGACTTTGCCGAGTGTTTTAGGCCCTTTGCCGCGGCGTAGGGTATGATTCAGGTAGTGTTCACAGCTAGAGATTCCCTACTCTCACGGATATGGAGGGACGTTCAGATTGAAGCCATATCGCACCATCTGCAAAATCTCATAGACTCAATACCACAGAACTGTGCAAATATCCTGCCATAGTTCAGTATCTAACTTCATAGCAGGCAAAATTAAGCAAGTGCCGGTGTTCAAGTGAAGTTTCGAGCTGGGTTGAACAAAAGCTAATATGGACCAAAGCTAATAAACTTTGACAAAGTTTATAAACAAATCAAGTGCCAGTGTGCAATAGAAGTTTCGAGCAAAGAAAAGCAGTAAGGAAAAAACGGCCAAAAAATATTAACATATACAATAACAGATTAATACCATTAGATTCACTATTGAATGTACTTTCACATCATATATTTTCATTAAGGTAAAAGTATATTTTTTTGTAAAGTTGGTCAAACTTAAGTTTGACTTTAGTTAAACCTAATATGCAGAGTAAATAAAAAGGAAGGAGTACTTTGGTTTTCTACCATTCAAATTTCATCATGAATGTTTGGGGCGTGTGCCCATTTTAGTCTTATGGTGCGCCCGACTCTATCCACAAGAGAATTCATGCATGCAAAGGGTGATAACAGTAGATTCCCTCTACTTAATCAAATAAAGAAGAATATTTCAAAAATTCACTTTGGCACGTGGGCCTGCCATATGAGCACTTTTATTGAGATGAAGGAGCATCCTCTATTTCCCGTATGCTTTTATAACCAGAATAATTATTTACAAAGCCTATTGGACAGCGAATAGGGTCGCAACGCGTCGGGAGGAATACTAGTGTTTAGTAAGAAAATTCCGCACAAGCTATATCTCACTTATAGCGAGATGGTAGCTCCCCTCGCCCACAACACCCACGCGTATGCGTCGGCTAAGTACATTCATTCGGGCGTTGCTGTTTTCCCGGTCATGCGTTTCGTTTGGTCGCTGTTGTTTTGTTTCGATTTTTCCCTGCTTTGGTTTCTTGTTTTCTTTACTGGTTTTCTCGGTTTATCTGTTGTTTCCTTACTGTTTTTCTTTGCTTTTGTTTTTGGTTGTTTTTCACTGCTTTTGCATCGGTTTTCACTGTTTCAACTTTTTATCTTTGTTTTACTCCAGTTTTATTTGTTTCTTTGTCGGTTTTCTTTGTTGTTCTTTTTTACTTTGCGGTTTACCATTTTATTTGTTTCTTTCTCGATTTTCACTGATTTGTTTCTTCGTTTTCTTTGCTTTGTTCCTTTCCATTTTTTCCCAAATTTTTTCTTGTCTCCCTTTTCTTTTTTGCACTTTTTCTCCGATTTTCTTGTTTTCCTTTTCTGTTTTCTTTGTTTCTTTCTTATTATTTTTATTTTTTAAACACATGCCTACATTTTTGTACATATTATATATTTTTTATACATCAAACATTTTAGTTATATGTAAAACATTTTTTAATATATGTTTAACATTTTTTCAAATAAATGATTACCATTTTTTCAGATATATGTTTTGATAACTATTGTTTTCATATATTGTACATTTTTAGTATACATCTAAAACATTTTACATATAGTTTTGACCTTTCTTATATACTCCCTCCGTCCCAAAGTTCTTGTCTTAGATTTGTCTAGATACGGATGTAACAATTTTGGGACGGAGGGAGTATATGATTAACTTTTTTAAATTATATGTTTTGTTTCTACATTTTTTGACGGACCAGATCTATAATTTCGGCAAATTTGAGGAACCAAAAACATATTTTTTTTCAAGAAAAAAAAGGTTAAAACCCATCCTAAGCTATTTTTAGTAGGCGTAGTTCCTAAACCGGCCATAAATTTGGGCCATCTAAAGGGAACGTGCATGGCTATCATCCCGCAAAGAAAAAGCTTTTTGCAATGAAAATGGTAAACCCACAATCCTGTTTTAAGTGACACCAGAAAATGTTTTACTTTTTGTATAAAACTCCCTGATATTTCATTTAATAAACCCTTAGTCCATCTAGAAAATAACATTATATTTTGGGGGCAGATTCAAATACTTTTTAAAAGTATCAATAACTTAAGAACCGTAACTTCAATTTTGACATGTTATATATGAAAAGTTGATTAGAAAAATGTGTAGAATTTTCAAATGATGTTGGTTAGCTGTGAAACATTTTTAAGTGTTATTTAGTATGCAACCTTAATCAATAGCTCACAATTCGCCTTTGTTTCGTACCGATGTAGATCCAGATTGGAAATCAACACATCAACAAAATCACATTAGGGACAAAACAATCTATAACCTCGCATGCACACTTCGACAAAAACTTTTTTGGGGAAACCTTGGGATTGACCACATTCAAACGCCTTATGGTTGTATGAGCACTGAGGCCACATTCAAAAATATATTTTTTTCAAGAAAAAGGGGTAAAAACCTATCCTAAGCTATTTTTAGTAGGCGCAGTTGCTAAACCGGTTATGAATTTTGTCCACCTAAAGGGAACATGTATGACTACTTTTTAGGAAACAATATTGTTCTGGGAGACGAGAAGGCAGCCGAGATGAAGGACTGATCCAGACTAGAGCAGCTATAGCTGATTCAGGTTCGGCAGATTTAATTGGAGGATTATGCGTTCTGTTCTTCTGAAGGATGGGTGGATTATTTGTGTTTCGAACATGGTTTATCATTGCACACACATTATAGCTGTAGAATTGGAATGCTACTGCAGGATATAAACTCCTATATTGCTGTTTCGATGGAACAGAACAAATCAGGAATACAAGCTAAAAATAATACGTAATACCAGCGAAACTAGCTAGGTGCCAGTAGCACACTTGCAATGGAATCATACGTCACGGGGGGCATCGCTACATGCATCTGAACATCGCTAGTTTCCGGGGAAGACCTTGCGGAGCACGCGCTGCGAAACCGGGCCGGCCGGTCCTGCTTCGGGGGCGGCGGAGAATGGCGAAATGGGTGCCGTGGCTGTGACCGGGGGCCCGCAGCAATCGTACCCACAGCACTTGAGGTTGCAGCAGGGGGTCGGCAACACCTGGGCGTCGCTCTGGTTGAGCGCCAGCAGGAGGACCAGCAAGAGGGCGCCGACCATCTTGGAAGCCATCGCCGTCGAGCCTTTGCAGCTGGTTTTGTGATGAACTCGCTTGTGCTACGGGGCCAACGACCTTGTGATGCGAGAAACGAGTGTGGTATGGATGTCTTGCTCGCTCCCTCCTATTTGTAGTCCTGAGCAGCAGGTTTCCCGAATAACGCAGATGGAAGGAATTCAATTGGAGCATTAACAACGTGCCATATAAAATCGTGGTCAAATCATGATATCATCCGGATGACTCCTCAAAGATAAGGATGAGTTTTAAGACAGGCTCCCAAATTTAGAATAAGATTATTGGATTCCAAAGGTGGCTAATATAAGGATGCTAATTAGGAAATTATCCACGATGGCAAATCTTTGGTAGCAGGACATTAAAGATAAAATCTCACATGCTATAGATTTTTTTTTGAGATTACCCACATGCTCTATATCATCATCAGGATGAAACCTCATGGATAAAGATGGATAGGATCGACCGTTGTTATCCCTCCATTCCAGATTTATTTGGCTGGCGAGCTGTTTGATTAGACAAAGGTAGAGCATGCTTTTTTTTTTCAGTTTGCAAACCCACCCATAATTATGCCAATACCGAGAATCATTTTGTGGTTGGATGATTAGGCGGATGGTTGTACCCCTAGCACACCATGGATCAAACTACATGTTTGACACCTATGTGCCCAAGTGCCAGTGGTGTGTGTCTTTATAGGGTTATAATTGTACATGCATATATGTGAGTGTCTATGTCTGCATTGTGTTTCTCAAGCAAAAAAAAAACAAAGTTAATCACCTGATAAGTCCAAATTTAAATGTGGTCAATCTCAAAATGGAGTTGAAAAGCTCCAATCTAAATAATGGTACCGAAGGGATTTGCTAAATATTGCTCGGGTGATTTTTTTTTTGGTTATGGCACTCGTGTTTCTGATTTCCAGAGTTTATTCTCTGATTTGTGTTGGTTTGTGGAACAATCAGGACAGTGTGACAGGACTGAAACGACAAGAGTTTGTGGATTGCACAGCAATGTATCGCCGCATCAGGTTCATGTTGTGGTACTTCATCAGTGATGTCTTATTTGTGACAATACTATAGGTAATAATGGACATAGCTTAGATGGTTAGGTTCCTGGTGGTGAAGTCAGCCCACAAGGGTTCAAGTGATGTTCTTGACACTAATGCTCGCATTAATCTCAAGATGTTATTCCCTCAATATCTTGAAGCTGCTTATATGTGTAGGGTGTTCGTACATGTGTCCATAGGGGTGAGTGCGTGTACCAAACTTCTCTTGATGCGCCCACACCTATATATAGGTGGAGGGGTGAGGGTTTCATCCGACCTATGGAGGTGGAGTCCTTGTAGGAGCACACCCCTTTTGTTGGTTTGCCCCCCCAAGAAATAGGGGGGTTGGCCGACTTGGGCCCTATGGGCCGCCTTGCCCCCAAGGCAGGGGGTAGGTGGCATTAGGATCCTTCCAGAATTTTCAAAAGGTTTTTGGAACATATTGGAGCTTTCGCCACCTTACAGAACATTCTGAGACACTACATGATATCACTGGGACGCTCTCGGGACCTCCGGGAACAATTTTGATATTATCAAAATACTTTTGGACCCCTTCTATCTTGTTCTTGATTATCACATATTACTCCTATATGTTGCTAATCATTAAGCGTGTGACCCTATAGGTTCAAGACTACATGGACAAGTTTGTAACACCTTCTAGTCAATAATTATTAGTGAGATCTGGACACGCACAATAATCCCCACATAACATTGTAGATCTTTATAAAAAAAACTTTTTTTATCGCATGCAATTGCCTTTCCCTCTCCATACGTTACCAAACATGAGGGGAGACTTTGATTGTATCGTTGTGACAACTACTTGATCACTATACGTAGTTATCCTCATTACAGGTTTGTACTCTTTCCTTGTAATCGTATTTCGGGATGCACATGACTAATTCCTTAGTCACAATACATGGTCAAGAGATGCCAGACAGTGTAATACCATGTGGTCTGAGAGTGTATATATCGATCGCCGGAGGGGCAAGTTTAAGTCTTCACATATCTAGTACCACGACATACTTCCTTGCGTTACCAAAAGTTAACTTTATAATTACCCAGTTATAGAGTAACATACAACATATTGACAACACGAACTCGCGTTATACAATACGATGGATCTATCCAACATCATTATTACCCTAACAACATGCTCTGATCATTTTTTTCATCCTCGTTACGTTAACTATGCACATGGCCATGAAAGCAGAACCATCAACAATACATGAGCAAGTCCAGAGGTCTAACTCTGTTTCGCGTTTATATCTCTAAACATGAAATTTGGTTTTCCTCTAAATCTCACTTTCAAAAACCAATGCAATTCTAGCATTGAAATATAAACTTAATTACGAACATGCAAATAAAACAAGGGACATTTACATTTTTGCCCCTAACTGGAATCCACTAGTCAGATTTGCCCCTAATTTCGAAGCATGCCCAAATTTGTCCCTCTGCCATTAGTTGCCCTCATAGAAATGCCCTTCCGCGCCCTTAATGTCCGGGCAAAGGGCTTTGACCGTCTCGAAAAAATAGCAAAAAAATCTGAAATTTTGTGGGATTGAAGGTACTCAAGTGCGCAAGGTGCGTGCAAATTTTCATGTTGTTTGGACACTCTAGGAGCTCATGGCGAAGGAAAAACAGTAAATCAGTACGCCTGTGAACAGTAAATTCAAAAGGTAGCAAGAAAATTCAAAAAAGTATGAATTTTTTTGGCATCCAAGATGCTCGGGTGCACAAGGTGTGTGCAAAATTTTGTTGTGCTTGGACATTGTAGGAGCGCGCGAAAAAAACAAAATCTGGCTCGGAAAAAACTTTGAACAAATACACTATTTTGTTTTTTTGCTAGAGCTCCTTGCATGTCATTTGATAAAAAAAATTGCACACACCTTGCGCATCCGAGCATCTTGGATGCCAAAAAATTTCGTACTTTTTGAATTTTCTTGCTATTTCTTTGAATTTACTATTCACAGTCGTACAGATTTATTGTTTTCCATTGCCACATGCTCCTGGTATGTCTAAACATCAAGAAAATTGACAAGCACCTAACTATCTTTGATCCCACAAAATTTCAGATTTTTCTGCTAATTTTATCGAGATGGTCAAAGCCCTTTGATCGGACGGTAACGACGCAAAAGGGCAGTTCTATAAGGGCAACTAACGACAGAGGGATAGATTTGGGTATGCTTCGAAATTAGGGGCAAATATGAGTAGTTGGTTCCAGTTATGGGCACAAATGTAAATGTCCCATAAAACAATATCAACTTTTATTATTGCCTCCAGGGCATAGTTCTAACAGTCTCACACTTGCACTAGCATCAGCAATCTAGTCAATGCTGATGCACTAAACATCTATGGCCTTTCGGTCTTGTTCATGTTTTGTTTGTGGTTGAGGCTCAATGGATCTGATACATTTTTCGAAGTTAACAATTAGAGCAATAATACACAGGATCAAATCCTTTGTTGGAAACTGAGTGCATGACTGAGCAGGAAAAATATACGGCTACAATCCTCAAGTCTACATTCAGAAAAGAAGCACTGATTTTAGAATTAAGAAACATATTTTAATGTCACCAAAACAGGCAAGTGGCATGGTGCTAGTAGCCAGTGACTACGGTGTATTCATCCTTTTCATCTTTCTTCATCGCTCCTTTTCAGAGAAGAAACATCGGCAATATTGTGATGCAAACATTCTAACCGAGTTTCGGAAACGTTTGCATGCTAACCGAGTGTCAACTGTCAACCATTACAAAGATCTGTTAATAAAGAAAAGAAATTAATCCTTGCTTTCTCATCTGTCCAAAACTATGAAGAGATTGTTAACAAACTAGAACCACTACTCCAGGGAGGAGAAGCTGATGAGCACGACATGTCCTGCAGTAAAGAGAGGAACAAAAGAAGATGGAGGCGAGAAATCAAGACGAGTTGTTTCTTTTTCGTAAAGGAGACAGATCATCTGGCCCACACACTCCTAAGAACCCAGACAGAAAAACGGGCAAATTAATGCTTACAGCGCAATGTCACACAAGAAAGAACCGGAAAAAACACTGGATGCTCAGCCTCAAATGTGCTGCACACAAATGCTAGATCCATCTTCAACCTGACGTTGTAGGATATACTAGATCACAGATCATAATTAAGAGACATGCAAATCAACAGAGCACACTAAGATAACTTGACACACACAGCATCTTCTTGGGCATTACATGGAACTTCGGTAGGATCGACAGAAGGAACTAGCTAGCGGCAGATCAACAGATCTGGAGTAGTACACTAGTAATATAAGATAGATCAACACACACCGAACATTTCTAGTAGACAGAGACAGCACTGACTTCAGTAGATCGACGGAAGGGACATGCATGCATGCATGCATGTGCTGCGCTTCCCTACTAAAGGAAGGCGGCGGCCGCTGCCTTGGGTCCGGCGGTGCGCAGGAGATGGAAGTAGAGCTGCGGGTTGGCCAGGAAGGCCGCGCGTGAGATGAGGAATCCGGCGGCGCCTGGGGCCTTCATCATGGCGCCGGCGGCCACACCGGCAGGCCAGAAGAAGTAGGCGCCCACGGCGCCGGCGACCACCGCCACGGCTCCCAGCGCGCCCTCGCGCGTGGTGACCATGTCCTTCGCCTTCTGCTTCAGCGCCTCCATCTTGGCTTGCTCGCTGCTTCTTCTGTTGAAGATGTCGCCTGGCTACAGGTTGGGAGGGAGATGGTAGAGGACTTGTTGGCGAGACAGGGCGAGGTGGGTGTGGGTTTATAAAGATGGAGGTGGTTGTGGTACCTTCTCGACCTAGTAGTAGTACTACTCGCTGCCTCCCGGTTAATCTCGTTTTAGTTGCTGACTGTGCTTGGCCTCAACACGATTCTCCGTTTAGGGTTTTTCCGTTTGAACTTGTTGAGTAGCTAGTTTTGATTACCGAAAATATTTTTCTGTCGAGGATGAATTCTGCTGAAAAGTTACAAGTTCACAAGCAGAGGCACGTCTCAGTGATAAGCACATGCTATATGTACATATAGTATATATACTGGATCGCTCGATGTGGATGCGTACACTAGCTAGGAGCATCATCCGATAGAAAAAGTAAAGGTAACTATGCAAGCTAGGGGATGTGGATGAGCTTTGGTTCAATGGTGTTCGGACGTTCTGTACCGCGCCGCGCGGTGCGCCAATCGGGCTTTCCTCGGGAAGGATGGCAGCCGGAGACCCGCAGGCATGCGTACTGCAATTCGTGGGCGCGTTTGAGGAAAAATAGTGCCTCGCACCGGTTGGAGGAGGCGCGCGGCGGCATCGGGAGCTATCTACACTTGTCATCTCGCATGCGCGTCCTAGCGGCCGATGCATGTCATGGGTCCGTTCTGTTCCAAGGCAAAAGCAATACTACTAGAGTAGATGCGAATGGCAAATGAACTCTTGTATGGAAAAAAAATTACACCCTCTATGTCTCATAATGTATTGTCAAGAAACGTCTACATTTTAAGACAGATGGAGTACAATATGTTCAGAACAGATGCGATGATACAAAGAAACGTCAATTCCTAGTCAAGAGACATTGCGTCTCTTTAGGTTTACTTAGATTAGTAACATGCATGTGTTGCTAGTTTTTGTTAGTAACATACTTCCTTTGTCCACAAAAAACTGTACGTTTCACGTTTGAAAATTTACACATAGATCAAGAAGATACCTGACTTACCCTAAGAAAAAAAGAGCTAAGTTTGCTCAATGGCATAATTAGCCCAGAAAATGTTGAACGTGTATACAAATTTTTTTTCTAATGTATACGGAAGTGTATGGAAAAAATGGACATAAAAAGTATTCATTTAAGTATGTTACTAACGTATTTGAAAATTATTAAGCGTGTATACATAAAATGTTCCTCGTGCATACAATTTTTTCTACAGTGTTTATGGAAAAAATCAGATATCAAAAATATATGTTTTAACAAAACATGTTTTTTTCAAAATGTGAAATGTGTATATGAATTTTTTTCAGATGTATGCAGAAAATATGAAATGTGTATGAAAAAATGTAGACATCAAACAAAATAAGTTTTCCAGAAAATGTTAATCATGTATTTGAAAGATATTAAACATGTGTATAAATAATGTTCTGGTCCATAAAAAAATGGAAAAAGGAAAGTGAAGAAAATGAATAAAAACCGAGAAAGAAAAACAAAGAAAAGTGAAGAAAGAAAGAAAACCAATGGAAGCCCAGAAAGAAACATAGAAATAAAAAAACTATAAAATACCAAAAAAATGAAAAAGGGTGAGAAACAAAGAAAACCATTTAGAAACATAGATAACCTAGAAGAAAACAAAAAACAAAGCAACAGAAGAAACCCGGTAAAATACCAAAGTATAGCAAAGAGAAAAAAAACCGTGAGTAAGAAAGAAAAGAAAACTGAAGAAATAAAAAAAACAGCGCAAAAAACCATAAAAGGTCAAAAAAGAACACAGAAAACGTAGAGAGAAAAACCTCACTGAAAAACTCGCTATGCAATTAGATGAAATGGGCTGGCCCATACTGTAGCTACCCAAAAAACCATGAGCGAGGGCTATCTCGCTGCAAGCGAGATATAACTAGCAATAAGTCGATGACCAATTAGATCGATGATGGTTGTGGGCTCGGTTCATGTATAACACATGACACGTTGATATATAGCTGGCTTTCTTGTGAGAGCAACTAACTACATGGCTCCCGCAAGGGTCATTTTTGTGGGTTGAGAGAGCATCAAATGGTGCGTGCTGCTGCCGCCATGCGTTACGTGCTGAACGCTCCCTCTAGATTTCGATTTTTATATTTCTGTACAAGTTTTCAGGTTTTAGATTGGTTTTGCGGTTTTTTTTGGCCTTTTGGCTTACGTGTTGATTTAGGTTTTAGAGGAAAAAATTAGTGAATTATTTTTGTGTGATTTTTTTCTTCCACGAGAAGCACATATTTGATTTTTGTGGAGGCACAAATTTGGTTCCACGAGAAGCACAGAGCACAACTGTGCTTCCCAGAAAAGGAAAAAAATCATGACTTTTTTTGCACGAATTTTGTTTGGTTTCCACGAGAAGCATAAATTTGCTTCTCGTGGAGGTACATATTTGTTTCCGCGAGAAGCACAACTATACATCTCAAAAATGGAGAAAACTGTGATTTATTTTTCTTGAACAAGAAGCACAAATTCGCTTCTCGTGTAGGCACAATTTTTTCCCAATGTACAGCCCATGAAACAATTGACGATTTTTTGCGTGATTTTTATTTCTCCCACGATTTGCTTCTTGCGGACGCACATATTTGTTTCTGTGCGAAGCGCAATTGTGCTTACCGGAAGGAGAGATAAATCACAAATTTTGTTTGCGTGTTTTTTCTTGCTTCCATGGGAAGTACAAATTTGCCTCTTGTCAAGGCACACATTTAGTTTCGCGAGAAAGCACACCTAGCTTCTTTGAAAAGTGAAAACAATGCGGATATTTTTGAACTTTTTCTTTGTGCTTCCATGAAAAGCACAAATTTGCATCTCGTGGAGGCACATATCTGTGCCTAGAAAAAGGAAAAAATAAGTGAGGAAAAAACCGAGCTCCCGGCTCTGTTTTTTCTTTTGTTAGGAAAAATGGTTCTTGGAAACTTAAGATGGGATCTTGTTTCGTAGACCTCTACGCGAGAAATCCAACGACGGAAATGGTTCGTGATTTGAACATACAGTTCACAAGATAAAATATTTGGAAAATAGAATCTAGGGAAAAAAGGAAAATAGTCCGGTTGCGACAAGTGGCGCACATGCAATGCACCACTCGTCAACGCCTGAGAAGGTGGGAGTGACATCTTCAAGTGGTACCCCTTCACTGGTGTTTGGTTTCTTTGTTCCTACTATTTTCTTAGCGATTAATTAACTCTATACATATACATAAAATAATTCACAGAAAATTTAAGTAGGGTGAGTGCACCACCTTACCCTGTTGAGTCCTATTGCCCCGTCGTGTAGCCGTGATGGTGGGCACAATGGCGTCGTACGTAGGACTCCATGCCTGATCAACAATATTTTTTTTTGAAGCAGATGCAAAAGATTTGCCTTATATATTACTTAAGGAGAGGATAGAGTTTCTTATAATTCACCTATAAATCCGAAAGGAATGATTACTCTCGCAAAATGATTGACCATAGCTTCTTTGCCTTTGCGATGACAAAAGTTTTGCCTCTTCCAAGATGATGTTTAACATGATCGGTGGGGGCGCGCTCTTGTTCTGGAACACTTGTGCATTCCACTCATTCCATATGTTCCCTGATACAAGCATAGTAAGTGAGGCCATTTCTTTTCTATTGCATGTACGAATACTGGTTCAGCTTGCCCCCAATCCTCAATAGCGCCCTCCATGTGCCAGGTGGAGCTGTCCCGATCCTCAAGGAGAAATTTCTCAATGACCAAGTTCCAAAGCCTAAGAGACTAACGACATTTGAAGAAGATATGGGATCCACATTATTGCACCTCCGGCAAAGGGGACAAAGGCCGAAGTTCGGACAACCTATCGGCGATCCAAATTTGATCTCGAAGGGCCAACCAAGCAAAGAACATGACTTTTGCGACGCCGAACCTTCCACTCCATTTGATCCATGGGAGAGAGGACCATGCCGGGGAATTGCTCTTTCTAGGCTGAAGCTACCGAGTAGTGGCCACTAAGTGTATGCTTCCAGATAATGTCATCCTCAGCAAGCTCATTAAGATGAATATCATGAACAAGCATCCAAATGGTAAAAAATTGACATATGTGCTCAACAGTAACAATGGGCGAGGGGTTAATCTTGAGAATCCACATGTTTGTTTTATGCCTGCTGCACCTTCCAATTATGTACCGACAGGGCCTCAAAGATGAGCGGAGCAATATCTATGGGCTTACACCCAACTAGCCAGGGAGCGTCCCAAAATGGGGTCCTCGCCTAGTTGCCCACTGTGATGATTGTAATGCACACGCAAAATCTTACTTAGCTCCTTCCATTCAAACCATGGCCACCTCAATTGTAATGCACACGAAAATTTTTCGGCATTGAGGACCCCAAGGCCTCCATATACACGCGGTTGGCAAACAATCTCCCAATTCACCTTGCACTTTGCCTTGTTCGTCATATCGGAGCCGGGCGAAAGGAAAACTTGTTCTAGCTTATTGACATTATGTAGTGTGCTTGGTGCAATAACGAGGGAGGTGATGAAGTAGACCACTTGGGAGGTGCTCACGGACTTGACTAGGGACGTGCGACCAATGGTAGTGATGTTTTCCCCTTCATACATGACCAACTTAACTGCCACTTTACCCTGAAGGAACTGGAGATCTACCCTGCTAAGTTGCCAAATGGAGAGAGGGAGCCCTAAGTATCGCATAGGAAAAGATACTCTAGATGCGGGCAAGCTTTGAATGATGAACTCCAAGTTTAGGTGCTAGCACCTAATGGGTACCACCAAGCTCTTATGGAAGGTGGTGCTTAAGCTGGTGGCCTCTCCAAAGCTTCTCAGGATGACCAAAAGATAGTCAATATCCCTTTTGATAATAGCCATAAACACCACTGCGCCATCCCCGTAGAGGGAGGTGCGCACCATGAGACCTCTTCCCCAGATCTTATGAAGGAACCCTCTTCGTGTTGCTAGCTCTAGGTGTAAAGGGATGATGGCGATG